CCCCAAAACCCCAAAACCCCAAAACCCCAAAACCCCATTTTTAGATTCTAAGATTGGGACATTTCTAAAAGATTTTCATAGCAAAAAATGGTTTGGAATAAGCAAGTTTCTTCCAAGGGGTAGGGTTTTAAGAGACTTTTACAGTGAAATTTGGGACTAAATTAAAGTTTTATTCCGAATGAACTTTGAAGGCATCTGCGATATCTTGTATTCTTTTACTACCTCGTCTTTATTCCGATCATCGTTATATTTTTCACTGGTTCTAAAAGATCAATTTCAGAATTTACAGTTCTTGGATGAGCTTTACTAACATGTTGTTGGAATCTATAGGAGTGTCATCGTATTTCTGAAGCAGCTGGCTAAGGTAATTCCTCTTATTAGTCATGAACTGCTCTTTAATGATGTTATATTCGATTCCTTCGAATACGCTTGAGCACGGTTCTGTGGAATTATGGATTAAATTTACCGTCTTGGACAATATCATCTCATTTCTGTACAATGGTTCTTAATTTTTGATTAACTTTTCGAGTCTTGAAATTATTTCAAGCCTTAATTTCCTTCCGAGTTGACTCAGATTCTTTTCTAATCCTCCTTCGGCTACTGATGTGAGACGTAACCGGGAGTTTACAGGCAATTACGTTATTTCTCAACTGCTTTATCTTCAATATCTATGTTTAGTCATTTTGCTGCATACTGAGGAAGCCAACAGGCGGCTGGTCCTCTTCGGTCGCAGAGGAATTCCCGATGAATTTGTTAGAGCCGATTCTAAATAACTTCTTCTTAATGTCATCCTTCTTATTGAGGTAGTACATCCTTGCTGATCTGTCTTCTGAGTGAAAGTTTGAAAAATTTGGGCTTTTAGGAGGAGAATTTGCCATGAAATTATTCTTAACGATATTCTAAGATTTTAGAGCAAATTTACATCGGATGTGTCAATATGAAGTTTATTTCGATATCTCTCTAGTTATTTTCTTCTCTAAATTATATTGATTAGGGCCTTCAAATTTGCCAATTTTGATATTATTTCTTGGTGTTTGAGAGGAGTCCAGATGCCTTGGAAATAAATCATTGTCTGAATGTTAGAATAATGGTTACTATTTTGTGTTTTTAGACTGTAATCTGGCCCTGATTTCTTCTTATTCATGCCAGCTCTTGACTGATTTTGACGATCTAAAAATGAATATATGAAGTTGTTATTTAAAAGAATCTTAATTGAGATATCTTACTTTCTCCTCCAAAAACGTTAAGGTTGCTAAATTTATGCTCCTTTGCAGGTGAATTTAGAATAGCCACTATGAAATTAAATACTGAAAGGAATACAAGGGTCTGCTTCATCTCTAACATTTATAGTGAGCTCGAACTGAGTGCCAAGGTCAGGACTTCTATGGGGATTATTTTATTCTAATTACTTAGGACCCTTAAATTTCTTGGTAATCTTTTTTCTTTTGGGATTTATTCTTAAATTGCTAGCAATACTTCTTATCTTTTTAGGCAGATTGAGCTGTTGAGCCTTATTTTGCAATGAAGAAAAAGGACTAAATTAATAATTGAATGCAGGCCTACCTCCTGATTTGCCTCCTAGAGCCTTTCTTACCTCGAGGAGATAAGCTTTTTACGATGTTATTTTCTTTCTATAAGTCGTAAGATCAATCTACTTTGATAACCTTGTCGATGAAATGCCTAGCTTTATGGATATAAAAAGCAAGAGGCTCTTGCACAAATTCTTCAATAACTTGGGCATTATCTGCATCTTTATTTACACTTCAGAGTGAATTTTCCTCTCATGAGTGCTCTGTTGATAATCTCAGAGTCTCTAGCGAGGGGATCTAATAATTTACAATATGAATATCAGAGTTTAAGCTGCTTTTGCTTTAGCTGGTCCTCTATAAGCTTTCTTCGTGCTCTAAATATTGCCACTAAATTCCTTACGATTTGTATCTCTGGATTGTGAACATCTTGTTCTCGTCTACAGATGATGCCGTTCACATTCAGAGAAGAAAGAGAGAAGGGAAGAAATTTATTTACCTTGAAACTGAGGGGTATCGAAAAATTCATATTCAGCCTGGATATTATTTCTTTCAAAGAGACCGTCAATAATTTCAAAGTATTTCCTCTTTAAAGCTTTCGCCTACTGGTTTAGTACTTAAATTTACCTTTTCAAGCTGGTCTAGCTTCTCTGAGCTGTTTGACATTATTAGTAAATATTTATGAAATCTTTACTCAATTTATTAACATTTTTTGGGGTTTTGGGGTTTTGGGGTTTTGGGG